TGCAGCCCCTGGCCCCTTTTTGCCCCTCGGCACCATCCCAGGCTCCCCATGGGAGAGGGCTCCGGGCAGCCCCGGGGAGCTGGGACCCACGGGGTGCCGGTCCCCCAGCCGAAATTTAATCTCCCCACACAAGGGTGGAGTAACCCAAACCCCTGACCCTAACAGGGTGCTGAATGCTGGATGCAGCATCGATTATCCGGCAGCTGCCTTGGTAGTGTTTCCTCTGTGGCCTCGTAGTGCTTGGGGTAAAAATAGATCAATTAAGGATCATTACAGCCCCCTCAAATGCCAAAACGTTGCTTCGTGCAGCTGGTAGCTTGTTAAAGCGAGGCACGGCCACTCGCATTGGTGTTAAAACAAAATTCCCTGCCAGCTGGGGAGGGGGCCAGGAGCCCGGCGGTGGGGCCCCAGGGGACAATTTTGGCTGCCTTACCTTGATGTTAGGACACAGGGCGTAGCAGGTGAGCTCAAACCGCACTTGGTCGTTGCCCTGAAACACGAACGGGAGATGCTGAGGGCTCACCCCGCACCGCGGCGGGCGAGGACCTGCTGTTTCCCTGCTCCCGGCTGCTCTACCTGTGCAGGGACAGGACCCAAATCCCCCAGCCGGGAGCTAGAGGGGACACGTCCTGGGGGCTCAGCTCTGGCTAGCACATGGGACAAGCCGTTTCGTGGGAAAAGCCTCCCAGCCCGTCGCTCGGCTTAAGCGCACGCACAGGCGGCGGCTGTTCAAACCGCACAGCCACCAGCCAGGAGGAACGTCTGGCTGATGCTACCAGGGGCTTCATAGACCGAGGGTCTCCGTGCAAGAGGGGGGTCACACCTAGTCTCCCAGTAACGACACTGGGATGGGATTGCTGGCTATTTTCACTGGAAAAGCAAGGCCTGAGGCTGAGGACCCACTTATCCCCTCCGTTCCCCCAGCACGGAAGGCAGCGGGAGGGGGTAATGGATGGCGGGACCTGGGCCAGGTCTGTCCCATGGAGTCACTCCTGGCTCCTCTCCATGGCTGGTTTGAAACCAAAACCATCTTTCCTGGTGCTCCTGACAGAATTGGGCACCGAGTGATCGAAACCCTGATGCAGCTCATTCACCTGGCTCCAAGGGAGCCCGGCTGATCCCAGGGTCACCCAAGCCATGCTCTCCCCTGGGCTGACACTCCAAAAAACAGAACTAGTAGAAACCCAGATTTGGGTATTTTTCCCTCCGCAGGCATCAGAGGACACATGGAAGGAGAGGACAAGGGGGGAGGAAGACCACGGTGTCCAGGAGGATGCAGCAGCTCATAATTAAATAGCTCTGAACCTCCCTTTATCTTAATTGGCCCTTGCTGATGAGGTCCTGCTAATGAGGCCAGGTAGTCGGGAAGGGGCGAGGAGCGAGCAGCGAGCCTGGGAGTTATTAGCACTTCCAAGGGAATAGTGCTCACCAAAGCCTATTTTCCAGCAGCACCAAGGGGCGTAAGGAACCCCCCCCTCCTCTCGGCCCCGGCCTGGAGGATACATTTACGGCCGGGCTGGGAAATCCCTGAGGACTATTATACGCGGGCGAGTACATCCACCAAAGCACTCATTTCCCTTACAGGCCCAAAACAAGTCCATCTGCTCCGGCAGTGGGGACACCGCAGATGGCCCGCATTTAAGACGCCGCAGCCGGGGACGGGGCGCAGCCGGGTCGAGTTACCCACGGTCGGTCCCTGCCTGCACCGGCGGCTTAATGGCTTGCGGAGCAGGCAGAGCCTGGGGAGCAGCCGAGGGTGCCCCTGCGAGTGGGGCCAGCTGGTGCTGGTGGTACCCAGGGGTGGAGGGAACATCATTGTGCCAGGGGTGCATTACCCCAGGGCACCCTCAAGTGGGTGCTTTCAAGAGGGGGCTGGTGGGGAAGGGGTGCGGGGAACCCATCGCAGCAGGAGCAAGAGTTATTTCAGCCACGAAGCCCCCCAGCCCCACAGTTGCCCCTCTGCCCCATCTCCCCAGTGCCGGCATGCCCCTTGGCAATCCCCTGGCTGCATCCAAAATCCCCCTTCTAGCAGGACCCTCCGCCATAGCTGGGGACCCCCAAACCCAGCCCCCCAAACCCAGCCCCTTGCACTGAGACCCCTCCAGGTGGGCACCTCGCCTTTGCCCCTGGGCCAAGACGGGCACAATCTACACTTCGAGTCCCTGCGGAACAGGGAGGAGGCGGTGTCCGGCAGGTCCTGAGTGCATGTACAGCACCCAAGGGCCCCACAGAGCCGCAGCTGGGACCAGCCGGGCTTGTGGCCTCTGGTGACAGTGTCACCCTGCCCCGGGTGTCCCCGCACCGGGCTGGGCAGCTTGCGGGCAGGGGCTGGAGGTGCCAGGGGGTGGCCCACGGTCACATCACGCAGGTCCCACGCTCCCCGTGGAGGATTTCCCCCTCTTCGGGCAGGGGCTGGCCCCAAGCAGCCTTTCCACGGTCTCTTGGTCG